TTTATTAACTGTCTTCAGGGCAGAAATACATAATTGGTTGCATTTTGAAAATCTTCCTTGTGAGTTTCTCAGGTCTTACTTTTTGTCAGCCTGTTGCCAAAGCTTGGGTCCTTGCCAGTTTATAAACAGAACACATCTTCATCCATATATTTACATGCCCAGCAGGAGCTCTCCCCACCCCCTTCCCTTTCAAAGCAATTTGTTTCAATGTTTTAGCATACAAAAAGAGAACCATTTTCTTCAATGTAAACAGAGATCTGCAGGGAAATAAGAGCTTTAAAAAAGAATTAGCATTTGTTTGGTGGCAAAGCTGCTTATATTTCTATCAGAAAGCTCTGAATGTTAGAAGGGTTTGCCTAATCTTAGTTATTCCATACAGAAGAGGGTCCTAATGGTATAATTTTTTCTAATCTTTATTGCATCTTCGTAGATTTCTTCCTGTGAATTGAGAAGTGTTCCTGGAACAATGGAAATGATGGGCATTCATTCCCGAAACAAAAACTCATAATGTACAACCTACCTGGTGCAAGTTTATTTTGCAGTGCATGGTGAGCTGAGTACAGGAGGTAGAGGGTGGCAACAGGTGGTTTCAACAAAGAAAAAAAATTATCCACTTTTCCTCTTTCCATCGGTATTAAGAGTGAAAGTTTATTGATTTGGGCTTTGCATCTTAGGGATTTATTTAGACTCTCAGCTTGGCTGAAGTTTAACATTGCAAGACCGATGAAAAAACGGATTGTTTAGCAAATTAATAGTGTAAATAAGATTGCAGAGGAGGATATTGGCTACCTAAAAGGATCTCTGTTTGCCAGCACTGAAAAATTATTTCAGCAAAATGTTACATCTAATGCAAATAATTTATGTGCAGTTGATTAAGTATCCTTTAAAGCAATTAAGGCAGAACCTCGTTTTGATAACAGGACCTTGTTGTAACAACATCTTGTTAGCTCATGTAACTATGAGACTTTCTCAAATGATCTATTTTCTCCTTAATCCATGTTGGAATGGCTTAGCACTGGTAATGGAGTTAGTAGGCCTGTAGTTAATGGCCTAGGATTAAGGTGTCCTTTAGGAAAGCTATTTAGTGTCAAAGCCTTAGGTTTTTCATAGGTCAAATGACCAGATGATATGGCCCTGGATCAGGAGTCCTCATTAGGTGTATCAGTCACCTCAGAAGCTTTTTCAAAATTTATATGATGTTCTCCCTAATCTCTAAAATTCTAATATGCACCCCAATTGTGTATTATTTATTTTTGAGATAGAGAATGTGAATAGGGAAGGGCCAGAGAGATGGGGAGACAGAGGATCTGAAACAGGATCTGTGTTGACAGCAGAGAGCCCCATGTGGGGCTCTAACTCACAAACAGATCATGACCTATGCCAAAGTCTGATGCTTAACGGAGCCACCCAGGCGCCCTCGTATCCCTAGTTTAAAAAACTGATACCCTACAAGATAATTTACAGGTGTACCAGCTCTGAAAATATTGTTCTATATTATATAATTAATAGGTTTTAGGAATTTGATGCTTTTAAAGTGTTTTTTTTGTGCCTGCTATGTGAAATATACTGCAACAGGGAGTACAAGGGGACCTAGAGATGAAAATATGATTTTGCCTTCGTGGTGTCTATAATCTAATAATTCTGTTGACTGGTATTCGATTCCAAATCACTGAGGTTTTATTCATATATTAGGATGTGGATGCTGTTTTCACCACTGTGATCTTTTAATGAGTAAACCCTCTTGCTCCTTGCCCCCCCCCCCCCAAAGAAAACCTACAAATGACTGACAAAAGAGCAGGGTTTTTCAAAGTGGGGCCTTTTGACTTTTCATCAGAATCATCTTGGGTAGCTTTTAACAATCAAGGTTCCAGGGCCCCCTCCAATCCTGCTGAAACAGAATTTCAGGGGTAACCCAGGAGTCTGAATGTTAAACGCAAGGTTATTACTCAAACTCAAGGTGTTTACTCAAGGTGATTATTAAGACACTCAAAGTTTGAGAAACACTGCCATGACAGATGTGAAACACAGCATAGGTCTGAAAAAATGAGATCAAGTGAGGTCAGCTAATACATGCCCTACTAGAGTTGCCTTTTTTCAGTTACGTGTAAATACGTTTAAAGTTAAATAAGAACTAATAGAAATTCTGCTTATTCTTATTTCATCTTTGGGAGAAGTTGCAGCACTTGAAGGCATGTTATCTATAGAAATCCTCATAGATGACTTTTCTGTGAGAGATAAGACTGAGCTTCTATATAGGCTTATACTTTATGAAACTCTTCTCATTCTCTGAAGAAAACCCCATGCTTAGCAAATGCTGCTTTTATTGACAAACATCCAGGTACGGAAGAGTTCATATGGCACCTTAATGCCCAAGACCTTCTGGTGCTTGTTCTGGGGATGGTGCTAGGATGGACACACACACACACACACACACACACACGCTCACTCACACACTCACACACACATACATGCTCAGACTTCTTTGGGTTACAGTTGGTATTGTATAGTGTATTGCCATCCTTCTTTTAGTCTAGCATAGAATTACATCCATTCAAATAAATCACATTTCCATCTTGATTTATTTGGCAAGAAGAAGTGTTCATGCCACTATTGGGCTGACCCTGATTGCCTTTCCTTAGGAAAAAAACACCAAGTGCTTTGAGTTTTGGTGTTAATGGGCATTGAGAAGTCCTCAGCTCTTATTTCTCTTTGCGATCAAGTCAACACCATTGACCTTGACCTAATGATCTGTGTAACACCCCAGTGTGGTTCAGGTTAAAAGTAGAAAGGCAGAAGTGATGATGGAGGCAGGCAGAAGGAAGGCGTGGGGGAGGCCATTTGTAATTTACAGTGTAACTAAAGTCAGTATTCACTTTAAAAAAATAGGAAAAGGAAAACTGATGTACGTTCTAAGTTATGTTGCTACAGAGTGAATGGAGGGATATCCTTTTCAAATGTATTTTCCATTCGTTCTTAGAAAGGCAATTAATACTGTGACACGTGTGCCGTAGGTTTCTCAGTGCCATTTCCATGAATGTTGTAGGCTTTTCTGATGAATAGGTAATAGATGGTCCTGATCCTTCCTGGTACTTGTGCTTTCTTCACTGTCATGTCTCGTAGGGCGATCAATTGTCCCCGTGTGCCCAGGAGTCTGTTGTAGCACTGGAAGTCTTGTGTCCTGGAAACTGTAAATCCCGAGCATACCTGGATAGTTGGTTACTAGGAATTTATCCATATTCAACCTATTCAGATCAGACAGATGTTGTCTAATGTGTCGCTGCATTCTCTGTAATGGTCTTTGATGGAAATTTATAGCTTTTCTAATTTTTTGTTTAACTTGAAAGGTAGTGAAAGCATAGAAACTAAATTGTGACAATTTCAGTTTGGATGCCTGTTTCACGGACTAAGAACTTGAATGTTGGAAGGATCTTTAGTTTTTGCATCCAGGCTTTTTTTTCCAGATGAAGCAACTGAAACTCAGAGAAGGCGGTTGACTTACTGTTTCAAGTTCACTCAGCTCGAGATGAATCCAGAATTGGAGCCCAGGTCTCCTGACTTCCAATCCCATGCTTTTCTCATATTTTTCAAATGTGTTTGAAAAGTATCCTGGGTACTTACAGGCATTAGCTTGCTTTGAGAAACTGAGCAGTTTTGTACCAGCAAGAAGCTGATTGACTTCCATGGTGCTCTATCAATTGCTCTCTGGAATCCTCCTGCTAGAGACTATGAATTCATATTGAGGACCTGGTGGCAGGGACTTCCACCTGTCGGGTGGTTGTCTCCTCTTGTAATCACAAATACTCCATCATCCTCAAAGAGGAAGCAGTTAGTAAATGTATCCAATTCTGAGGGAGAGGTCCTATGATCCTGTTATTTCTGTTAATGTTTCCCATTCATAATTTAACTTGAAATAGTATGCAGAAAACAGCATTTGTTAATGACTTTCTGCTTAGAAGATGAACAGATAAATGTAAACCCCCTCTTAAAGACTTGTGGCATGATCTTAGGCCTTTATTTTATTTGTGGATTAATCTCAGTATTCTGAACTAGGTCCCACATCTTTCATCTGTTCTGTAACACTTCTTCCATCAACTCAGGAAGAAAAAAAAAATCCCTAAAACCAGAATCTTGATATTCAACTTAAAAAATCCAAAGGCCAAGTCAGTATTTACATTGCAAGATGGCAACCCCAATGACTTTCTTAAATCAGGGCTGTTCTTCCTGACTAAGTTAGAGAATTAAAAGGCCACTTTTTACAGTGAGATGTTGAGTAAGTTTTAAGACTCACCAACAAAAAATCATAATAATCAGCAGAGAACAAATATTGTTAAGCAATTCTCTCCATGTCTAATTTTCTTTCCTTGATTAAATGAATCAGTAAAATTTTTAGTCTAATATGTTTCTATTGTTCACTGATGCTTAAAAAAATCCTCTAAGTCAGCAAAATTTAATGTTCCAGAATGACTAAGGTTTTGGAGGAATTTTTATTGCATCAGTGCCTTTTTGGTTCAATAGTTTTTTTTTTTTTTTAATGTCTTATTTATTTTGATAGAGTGAGTGAGGGAGGGGCAGAGAGAGAGAGGGAGAGAAAGAATCCCAAGCAAGCCCAGTGTTGTCAGTGCGGAGCCTGACCTGAGGCTGGATCCCATGGACCACGAGATCATGACCTGAGTCAAAATCAAGAGTTGGATGCTTAACTGACTGGGCCACCCAGGTCCCCTTGTCTAATAGTTTAAGAACAGTCGCTGGTAGATCCTTAGTGTTGTAATGTCATTAGCAACCACTCATGGCAACTAATGACAGCTTTCTCAACATGAATGTAGTTTCCAAGATGTCTGGAGGAGGATGGTTTGGAGTAGTAGTTCATTGTGGACTAAGGGAGACTTACCTTTTGAATGAAGATAGCAGTGTTGTAAAAAATCATGTGCATATGACTGCACAGCGGCCATTGGAACTGGTAACTATAATCTTGATCACCACCTCTCTCTTCTGTTATCAAGGGAATCATCCAAGATGGGAAAATCATCTTTATGCCAAATGGATACATAACTCAATGTCCGAACCTAAATCGCAGTAAGTAGCAACTTGAAGCATTTATGAATTTTTAATATTATATAACTCAGTGATAATAAACATGTCACACAAAGTGTAAAAAATGTTGACTTCTGAGGTAGTGGGAATAGGGAGGTAAGTTATTGTCTATATTTATAGTTCTGTGTCTTTGAAGTTTTAAAAAAGCTTATGTGTTGATAGGATTACCATTTGAAGGTAAGAAAAAGTACATTAGCAGTTGGGGTTCTGTAGATAGAGGAAGATAGGTTTAATATGCTAGTATTTATAGTAAACAATGACTTAAATAGCTTGGCTTAGATGTGAGTTTACTTTCTCCACTTTTACAACAATTCACATTTTTTCAGTCGTATCTCAGTAAAAATGAGGACTTAATTCCAATTTAAAAATTTCCCATTGCTTTTTCAGTTAACAGTTCTTTTTTCCAGTTCCTTTCTTTCTTCTTGTTAATAAAAGGAAAAGATGTAGACCTGAAATCCTGGGTGATTTCACTCCATTTGAAATGTAATACTTAACCAGAAAAGCAAAAAGCCTTGGACATAGCCAAGCAACTACTGTTGTAAAAGTTTCTTTATTGTATTAGCACTTTATCAACATTTCTTATATTTTCTCTATTGAGCTTGTCCAACTTGCAGTGATTTCTTAAGCCTGGTGCAAGGAATAATGGATTTGCAAGAGCTTTTGGCCAAGATGACTGCAAAAGTAGGTATCTAAATTTCACTTGTGATGTTTCATTTCTTTCTCCATCCTATCTGGAATTTCCAGTGATATGCTATAATGGAAACATTTTTAGCCTTGGCATTTGCAGTATGTTACTGTGGAAATGGTTTATTCTTACTTGAAATAAGGCTACCTATAGTGAACATAACCGTTTAGTTCTTTGATACTATTAGGCTGCATCAAGATGTTTACTTGAAGAATGTTTGGAAGAAAGAGGCCCTGGGAGAGGAAAAGGAATTTGCGTGCTGGCCATCAAACTAGTAACACTGAGATGATATATGGTCAGAGGTACTGCTGCTCATAAGCTAATGCATTTTAGATGTCAGAATAATTGCCAGTAATCAGAAGGGGCAAAAGAGCCATTGTTAGCAACAGATGATTGTCACCAGAAGGTGTTATATCACATTTCTAAGATGTGATTCATTTCGGGACTGGTCCTGAGTTAAATAGTGGAGGAGGCAAAGTTTGCCTTCTCACACATTCGGTTTTATAATTGTGAATGTTTGCAATGGATCATCCACTTCACAGGCATCTTTCAAGGATCTGTTATTTGCCAGGTACTGCGTCAGGCACAAAGGAGGCAATAATGAGCAAGACATTATTTCTCTCCCAGAAGCTGTTCATATTGAGTGGCGGACACAAAAATGTAAATTATTACGGGCTTTAATATATAACGTTTAGACTCATAATGAAAAGCCCTGAGCCTTGTGGAGAAAGGCACTGAATAAATAGAAAATGCGGCTAGTGCCGTTGTTATGATACCAATCAGTCGTGGACCTAAGTCCTGGCCTAGGGTGAAGAAAGAATTAGGCTGGGCTTAAGAGACATTATTATGCTCTGCAAAAGGAAGAATTTTAATAACCGTGAAAATGATACATTAATCTTGTTGCACCAGTGGCTATGACTGCTCCCAGCCATCAACCATGGCACAGGGGAAAAAAAAACCCAAAAACTGGTGGGTAGGTTAGTGTTCGGGCAGGGGGGTAGGGCTGTGTTTTGGACCCGATGGTTGTGCTGCTGAAGATCAGGTTTCTCTTTCAAACTAGGTTTTTGGCTAAGTCCCCTTTTGTCTGGAAAGGAGAGACAGAACACTTTTGTAAGAGAACCTGGGACTTGAGAGCTGAAACATGCACTTTTCACTTCAGCATACAGTGGAAATGCGAATTGCAGCCAATTATTTGCCTTCCCAGCTTGTGGTATATAGAGGCTTGTATTTTATATTGTCTGGAGCAGCTTGATCACAATAGCATTAATTATATTTTAGCTTGCCACCAAATTTTTGGAATGAGAAATACGCCACTCAGTCTCAGGTGATTGTGGTTTCCCAGCTTCAACGATGCCCCTTTCTTTATTGTTCTTTCCTTTTGCAGGGGATGTCATTTTTCTCTTTTTAGCCATATGTTATCTAGGAGCCACATTGAGCTCTGACCTCCAAACAGTATTATGTAAAATGGGCGTTTGTGAGGCTGGAGATATCTAATTGTGGGCAATTGCAAGCAGAAAATGGTTTCACCCACCTTCTAAACCCCGCCTCTGGCACTTTGGAAGATTTATAAGTCTGTTTCTTCCAAACCATGAATAGAATTATAATTAGAAAACCGAGGACTTCCATTTTCACTGCAGAATTTTGGAATGTGTAATAATCAATAAGAGGAGAGCTGGTAAACTTTTTCTGTAAAGGGTTAGCTAGTTGATTTTAGGCTTTTCAGGCCAAGAGGCAAAATAGAAAATATTATGTATATACTTGTTTAATCACTTAAAATGCAACCATTGAAAAATGTAAAAATCATTCTTAGCTCGCAGGCCATATGAAAAGGAAGGGTGGGCCAGGTTTAGTTCATGGGCCCTAATTTGTCAACCCCTGATTTGGAAGAAGCTGGAAAGTCAGTCGTACTAGGTAATATTTATTGAGTATTTGCTATGTATTAGATATAATGCTTAAATGTTTTATATTGCCTGTCACTTTAAACCTCACAACAGTCCTGTGAACTGGGATTGATTTATTAGCCCCCTTTCCAGATGAGAAGACTGAGTTCCAGGAATGTTCTGTGACTTTCCCCAAGACAACGGATGGCAGAACTGGGATTCAAACTCAAATTCTGAAAGCTGCATCATAACTGATGCAGTTGGAGAAGGGAGGACTGGAAAGAGAAACAAGATATAAAGAAGGAATGACTAATGGAGAGAGGGAGTTTGGGGATGGAGGGATCAGTGAGAACAGTGGGCAAGTGGAAGAGAGGAATGTGTGCTCAGATGGTAACTTGGCAGTGAAACATGCACATAGAGCTTATAGTAGCTTTTGGAGGGGGAAGGTCAGGGCAAGAACAAAGCCCCTGAACTCACTCTTTTGGTTACAGTTGATTGCTTTCCCTGGGAATCCGTGACATTTTGAGTCCTGGTGTGTGCCAGGACCATCCAGGGCCACCTTACATTACATGATCTCCTTAAAGGTTTTCAGATCTTAAAGTCTGCTCAGAATCAAACTGCAAACCTAGGATGGGCCAGGTGAACTCTCATCAAATAATTCTTGAAGAATTCTCACAGAAGATCTTTCCCTCTTGCCTGTGCCAATGTCTGAACAGGAAGGTCTTCTTTCTGTGCCTCGTGGAAGCCTTGTCTCCTTTTTGTTTACTCTTAAACTGAGGATACAGGCCTTTGGTGTCGCATCTTCATGTAGGAGTTTCCTTTAAGACATCCCAGCATGGGCAGACCCTGTTCCCTAACTCCTCTTCTCTGCATCCTATGTAGCCATCACGGTGGGTGCTTGGGGGCTCATTGACCTTTCTCCAGTTGCTGGTTCCCTGTAGGTAAAATGGTGACAATTATTTTTGATTTTGTAATGATCCCATGAGTCCAGGCAAGTGAGATTTGAAGGCCTGCTTTTGTGTATGGCACACAATAGGCATTCAGTAAGCTGTAGCTGTTCATTTTGTATTATTAAACCTAGATAGAAATAGGCAGCCATGAGGGGAAGATGGTCCTTAAGAAAATGTACACCTTGCCCAGTGGCTTGGCGTCACTAAGCCTGGCAAAAGCCACAAGTTGCTGTTGGGTTCCTGGTCTAGAGGTAGGTGCCAGGAGGTCTTGGAAAGCAGAAAGTCTTTACAATTGTGTGCTAGTAGGAGCCATGGAATCCTACCAGAGAGGAAGCCCAGTGCACAAGCTGGACAGGAGTTGGTAACCATAATCACATCAAAAAGATGCAGACACCAGATCAGCCCAGGGGTCTGCCCAGTGGTCTGCCCCAGAGGACTGCTCTTTCTTTTTTCTTTGGGGGGGGGGGGTGGTTGGTGCTTGAGAATGACCACGACCTTGCTGAATACGGACCATATCATGGGAGCAGCTTGTATGCACTTTCAGGTAATAGGTCAGGGTACATAAGAGCCCTCTTGAAAAATTCTGGCATTCTGGCAGGATTAACCTTTTTCCAGGTAGAGAAGGTACAGGGAAGCTGTCTTCTGTCATTTTCCCTAAACCATCCACGAGAGACCACCAGTCCCTGGCTTCCTCTGGGGCTACCCCATTGCTGGGCCAGGAATATTGTGGCTTGCTCTTTCTTGCCTCCCACCTGTGCTGGAATCACATTCAGCCTCCAAGCTCAGGAAGAAGAGAACACTGGAGACTGGGAATTTCTTGATTACCTCTGCTTCAGTCTTTGGCAAATCTGTTTATGCAAACCAAGCAGCACTTGGAATAGCATTTCAGCTTGTAACATATTTAATTTTGAGATTTTCATTGTTTTGAGAAACTCAATAGTGATTTTTTTTTTTTTTAGTGAAGCTTAAACGTTTAGCACAGTGAAATATTTTTTCCCTTCCATTTAACAAATGCCAAATAAATAGTATTTCAAAGGGAAAAAAAGCGCGACTAATGTACTCTGATCCATTCACTGACCTCTTACGTGAAAAAGACCTCTGATGTCTGTCTGTGAATGTGCAGAGTTAAGAATAAATGATTCTGTCCATGGTTGCTTAGATGAATGCATGAACAAAGGTAAGACTGAATAGAGATGTGGATTTGCTACTGGATCTATTTTGGATCTGTAGACATTCTTGGAGAAAATGGCAGGTAGTGTGCAAATAACTTTTGAAAATGACTTTGTGTAAATTCAGCATGCTAATACCAGTGACAGAAATTGTAATTCATTTTTTGATTCAGAGTTGTTTTCTCCTTTATTGTTCCAGTATTTAGCAGGGTTGGGGGAAAGGAAGGTAAAGTTAAATGCCTTTGAAAAATTAGCTTTTTGTGCCTTATTAGTCTTTGCTTTTGTGTCTATCTCCTGCACTCTTATTATAGAGATAAGGGCTCTTCAGTGTTGTCAAAAAGTCTAAATATGTTAGAAAAGCAAAGACAGAGTTCAGAAGGGAAGCATTTGCCCTGAGAATAGCTTCCATTATATTAAAACCAAGGTTTTCTTGGTACTGACTTTTGTAGGTGAGCATAGCTCAGTTTTGTTGGACAGTATGGGAAATTGACAATACTGCCTTTAGGCACATTCCTGGGTGTTCAGGAAACTTGAGTAGTCACAGAATTGCCTTTTGGGTTATTTAGTCTTTAAGAAGTTTCTTGCAGTGATACAGGCACTAGATTGTTCCAGGTTTTCAGAGTGAGGCTCATTTCTTCTCACAGATAACCCATTCTTAGCCAGTTTTAGTAAGGATGCAGGTCTAGCTGAACACTTTTTCAACCCCAAGTCATCCATCAATCACTGCCTTTTGTAGGAACTATGGGGGCTTTAGAAATGAAGTAAAGGTGATGTGTGATAAGTTGTCATTTCTTATTATCTCTCACCTATATGTGGTTTTACTCACTTGACCTCACCAAACTCTAAGAAGTGTATTTAATGTGTTTCCTAAAGAATTCCCAAAGAGCTTAATTATGATAGATTCCAGAAACTCTAATTAGGCTCGAAATTTAAATGTAATCTGAATTTTTGGAAGATTGTGTATACTGGAGGGGTCACAGGAAGCTAGTATTTCAGGCATAGTTAGCTCTGTTTCTTCAGGGGTGATTTTGGTGCATGCAATTTGTCTAGCATCCTATTTGCTTTTTTCCCTGCCCATTGGAACTGCCTACAAAAGGCAGAAGGAACAAGTTTTCTTGAGAGATTCTAAAATTTTGGAGAAGGAGAATGAAATAAATGACAACAACAAAGTTTGGAATTCCATTTTGATTCCATTTGTAGAGAGTAGTGCTCAGTGGTGCTGGCGGGAGTAAATGAGAGGAGCATCTATGGAATGGAACCATAATTAGTACAGAAAGATGTTGGGAGTCGTTATTATCTGGGTTCAACCATTACATCTAAAATACTGGCTTGAAACGGTCTTACTTGGCTCAGAGATTGGCATGATCATCTATATAGGGAAAATACTCAAGACATGGAGGTGTAAGTATGGTTGAGAAGGAAAAGAGAAACTACTTGAAATTTTAGGATGTAGTGTTTGTTTTAGTATATATGCTGCTGAAGGGAGTACAAAAGTAGCGTTTGTTTTGCAATCAAGGTAGTCTCTAAAGAAAAGGGGGAAATGGTAATAATGCTATCAGATTGACTTCCACTTGAGTATGTGTGAGATTATACCAAAGTTCAATTTTTTCGTACCATATGTTCGAAGGCAACTGGAGTAGGCTGCATGGAAAGTGATCAAAAGAGGATTGGACTCTTCTCATGATGAGCTCTTCAGTGAACCTGGTGGTGCTGCATGTGGTCAAGAGCAGGTGTGAAGACAGGATAACCTCAAATGTTTGAAGAGAGTAGATTGCTTAGGACAAGTTACGGAGCAAAACTAGGTCAAACAGAAAAAGCGAGGAGAGATTTCATAGTTCACACCAAGAAAGGATGTTTCAAGCATCCAGAGCTAACCCAAAAAAGGTTTTGAAAGATAACGTCCTGCCACTGTAGATGCGCAAAGAGAGGCTGGTGAATCACTGCAAGGGGTTACTTGTCATGACGTTCAAGCTTGAAAACTATTTTCGGATCAGAGATTCTAAGATTCTGTGATTGCTGGTAATAGTTGGGTGACCTAGGAAAATGAAAAAAAGTTTTTCTACAGAATCCCAACCTCACCTGGGGGTTTGGTTGCCTGTCTTCACCTTTGAACACCAACGTGGATTCCTTGGATGTTCGTTCTGGGGGATCCTGGGCTGGGGAGAAACTAGATCCTTGTATGAATTTCCCTTTTCCTTGCCCCAGCTCCCAGTAATTTCTCATAAGAGAGGAAGCAGTGATTTCCCAGCCTAAAAACTGACACTCTAGTGTGTGAACACGGAGAAAATGATGGGAGATTCATGTAAGTGCATCGGAGTTCCTGATGAGATCTCCGGTAAACATTATAATGAGTCCTTGAGAATACATTCATTATGAGTGTTTCTGTGTGGGCTTGAGCTGAAAGCACATATGTTTATGTACACCCATGAGGTCCCTGAGATACGGTTTAATGTCTCATTTGGTACTCATCAGACCATAGTAGCCAATATGTCTTCAATTTAGAATGATTCCACCTCATGTTTAAAAAAAAAAAAAGAATCTGGCTAAGAGTAAGTCAGCTGCTCTGAGCATTTTTTCTTTCTCCTACTTGGCTTGTATTTTTCTTGTCGCTATTAGCTTTGTTAGGACAATGCAACTGAAATAAAGAAATTACACCAAGGTATTCTTCTTTGCAGTTAAATTACGCAGAGACGAGACTTAGTCAATTAGAAAACTGTCATTGTGAGAAGACGTGTCAAGTGAGTGGACTTCTCTATAGAGACCAAGACTCCTGGGTTGATGGCGATCACTGCAGGAACTGCACATGCAAAGTAAGCCTCTTTGTAAAAAAAATACCGTTTTAAGGGAGCATTTTCACTAGTGATTGTGTAATCTGGTCTTGTACTATATAATGCTGACTCTGAGAAGTATGTATGATCTTTTTTCTAAGCTTCTACTTAGCAATCTGAACAATTTTGAAGGGAACCTGGAAAAGTGTCATGTCCTATACAAATACTTGGAAATTACAGTGTGCTTCTATTTGACAACACAGTCTAGTACAATCTAACGTTGTTGCTAACAAACTTACTATTTGGAGTTTGAGGATTAGATTATCAAAGGGAGGAAGGGACTCTGATTTTCAAGCAGCCTAGCTTTTTAGTCGTTCACAACTTCACAACTTTTCTGTGCTAGAAAAAAATTTAAGAGGAGAGTATAATTAGTTTCTAGATGTTTTTATTGTATTTTAGAAGGTGTCCTTCATCTGTTTCAGAGACTTACAAGACTGCCCTGACTTTCAGGGTATCCGTCATTTGTATACTCCATCTGTTTTAGAGAATTCATGAGTACCCCCAAAATTAGTATGTAAACTCTGTGCAGTTGAAATTATTTGATAAATATCTGAAGAATGCCACTGTTTGGGAAAATACATAATGGATTGTTAGAGCCTCCACAATGATTGACAGGGTCTGCAAAAGGTGTCATTTATGTTCTTGTAAAAATAGGCTTTTGTTTTCTGCCTAATCTGCTTAGCCCACATGGGCAGATGGAATGAAGCCAGTGATGTATATCAGAAAAGTAATTGAGGTGGCACAGATTCATTTGGGTTGGAGAAAATACTTCATTTGTGATCTTGGAGTAGACTGGCAATTCCTCCCACTGCTTCTCTTTCCCTGATGAGGTTTCTGGGATGACATGTGAGCTTCTTCCACAAAGGGAACTTTGCAAGGGCACTTCTGAGATTCCTTTCCCTGTCCTTCCTTCCTCAGAGTGGTGCTGTCGAATGTCGAAGGATGTCCTGTCCCCCTCTCAATTGCTCCCCAGACTCCCTCCCCGTGCACATTGCTGGCCAGTGTTGTAAGGTCTGCCGACGTAAGTACTGACTGAGGGTCGGAGTGGTCCTGTGTAACTGATGAACATTGATCCCGTGAAGTACCAGAAGTTGATACTATATGTATGACAAGAAGAGCTTCTATATTTTAATCAGCTGAGATGTGCAGATACTTTACATAGGCTTTTTTTCTTTTTTAATCCTCATATCAACTCTAATTATTCTTCCCATTCTCTGTAGAAGGAACTGGTATTTGAAGGGATTAAGATTAAGTACTTGTCTAGGGTCAAACAACTGGTAATGGGTTGTGTTGATCTGTAAAGTCACAACTGCAAAGCTCCACACGATTTTGTCTCTCTCATTCTTTTTTTTTTTTTAATTTTTAAAAATTCTGTTTATTTTTGAGAGAGTGAGCGAGCATGAGTGGGGAAGGGCAGAGAGAGAGGGAGACACAGAATTCAAAACAGGCTCCAGGCTCTGAGGCGTCAGCATAGAGCCCAGCATGGGGCTTGAACCCATGAACTGTGAGATCATGACTTGGGCCCCAGTCAGATGCTTAACCAACTGAGCCACACAGGCACCCCTGGTCTCTCTCATTCTGAATGGTGAAGTTGAGGGCCAGATTCGATGTTTAGGCTTTCTGAGGTCTTGGCCAGATTTCCTGTTACTGAAATGCCTTGTTAGAAATTTTAGGATCAACTTCAGTTAAAATATTGACACAGATTCCTTCAAAGTTGGTTTGTCCAAGTTAAAGGATTTAAAAATTCTTACTGTTTTGCCAAGGTCACTTATTTCAGATGAAATAGTGAAATGAGCCTGGAGACCAGCAGTAAGAGTAAAAGCTGTCATTTAGAATGCTTGGTATTTGCCAGTTACTATGTAGATGCTTCAATTCTGTTAGCTTATTGACTCCTTACTGCAGTCTTTTTGGGTGAGGATTATTACTCCTGTTTCACAGGAAGCTTAGGGAGGTTAACTTAACCAAGGCTGCAAGCTTGGTAAGTGACAGCGGTGAAATGTGTAACCAGTGATGCCTGACTGAAAGGCCCATTGTCTTTTCATCCAACTATAGGGTCTTCCGTAGCAAGAGTTTAGGTTAGATGCGTGGCATCCTCTGGGTAACACTCACGGTTGTTTATCTATTAAAAATACCAGTATCATGGGTCTTCAAAACATAGTGGTCTAGCTTTTTGCCAAGAACAGCCTGTCTCCTAATTTGACAGTGGAGGTGAGGATAGCTGGTTTGGTTACAGCAGCCCAAACCTTTCTTGCACTTTTTTCAAAAGGGACTTTGGAATATTCTTCCTCTTTATGGTTGGCACAGTATACCTATTACTGTGGAAGGTGGTCCTTGGAGTTAATCTAAAAAGAGGGATTTTCTTTTTATTTTGAGCACTTTTGGAAGTCTTGTCTGGCCATACAGGTAGCTTAGGTGCCAAGATGCTGAAATGATACTTTGCTCCCGCGAGGGAAATTTAGGTAGGTATGGATTCTTTTTTTTCAATTTTGATATTCTGTATAACAACAGAGGATGAGGATGAAACACTACTGGGAATTTGTTTAAAAATATGACATACTTTTAGTCTATTATTTTGAGTTTTTTGGATAGATCTGTGAATACAGTCTCGTGGAAGTGGTTGGACATGGGAGTAGATGAGTCCTTCGGCTGTTTGGTGTTTTAACCTTTTGATTTTCTAATTATAAAAGCAATGTATTTATTGTGTAACATTTGAAATCACAGAGAAGAGTAAAGATGATGGAGAAATCTCACAATACCACCATTGGGAAATAGTCATTCTTGAAATTTCAGTGAATTTCATTTTTTTCATCCCATCTTATGTGTGGTTGAGATCTTACTGTGCAGATAATTTTTATCCCACTTCGTTGACTTACTATTATCACTTAAGTGTATCCCTGTGCTTTAAAGAACACTGTATAAACTTCATTTTAATTAGCTTCATGTCATTCCAATGTTGGGCTGTTGCTTGCATGACTTGCTTAACCATTCCCCAATCATTGGATATCTAGATTTCCCACTTTTCACTATTATCAATACTCTTCAGAAATGTGTTTTGTATAGAAAACATATTTTTGTGTTGTATATTAACATGCAGGTCTCCAGAGTAGAATCAGTGGGCCCCACATTATCCCCTCAGTAGAAGCATGTGTGGGGAAGGTAGTCTCTTTTCTTGATTCCAATTAATTTGAGAGTTTTTAAACTTTGAAAAATACTTTAGAAAGTTACCCAACTTTACCAACATGCTGATAGGCAGGCTAACTAAAACAAAACAATCCTTTTGTTTGGAATTCATAGCAATTTAGCTACGTAGTACTAATTTTTTCAGCAGCTATGATTGGCAGTTTGATTGTAGTTTAACAAAATGGCAATACAAATCATGAACACTAGTTTAAAAAAAACAAAATGAAAAAAACCAAACATGATACACAGCACCTCTGGTAATTAAAAGGTTAAGAACCTCTGGCATAGAGGGTTTTCATTCCTTCATAGTCTTTTATTTTTTATGTTTTAATGTTTATTTTTGAGAAGGGGGGAGGGGCAGAGAGAGAGAGGGAGACACAGAATCTGCAACAGGCTCCAGGCTCTGAGCTCTCAGCTCAGAGCCTGACGTGGGGCTCGAACTCATGGGCCGGGAGATCATGACCTGAGCCAAAGTTGGATGTTTAACCAACTGAGCCACCCAGGCGCCCCATTTCTTCATAGTTTTTAATTGAAATACACACTGGGAAGTTCCCTAGGGCCGGTCCCTGGAACAGTGGTGAAGGAGCCCTCTCTGCCTCAGAGGGCTCACTTTCAGATTAGGTGACTTAGGGTATCTAGAATTCTCAGTGTAGTCCTGTTAGGCGTGTGGCTAGGGCACTGTTAGAACACAGAATGATGGCTTGTGGGACAGTGCTGAGGGGGCTCAGGGGCCATCAGAAATAGGCCTGGGGTGCTCCCTGGAGGAAGGGGAACCAAGCTAAACCTTTTTAGGCTTCTAGCTGATGACAGTTGGTGGGTTGAGCAGTAGGGTGGAGGAGAGGAGAACGAGGATTGGTCAAGCAGAGTGCCAACACTAGTCAACAGAATTTCTAGAAGTTTCCAATACCTGCCTATCAGAAAAAGGATGGAGAGTATTTACTTAGGTTGTCCCTTTCAGATAAAATTTCCTAACCTGCTTTCTGGGTTTGTGTGGAGCAGGATTCTGGAAACTCTGAGGAAAGGTAAGGATCTGGCTGAAATAAAAGGGGCTTGAATACATAAAAGCAAATTGTTTTGGCAGCTGACTTATTAACTGTTCATGTAGCTGTCATGGCCTCAGGAGCTGCAGTGCTTACCGATGGGGGTGTCTGTTTGGAAATAGGGTCTCAGTTCATTGCTTGAGAAAAGTGCTTTGTCCTTCTGTTTTGATCAAAAGGCCAAAACACTCTTTCTGTCTTCAAGAGCAAGTTAGCTTTCGTAGTGGAGGTTTTGGGTCCTGATGCTACCCTGTTCTTCTCTCTCTTTTGGAGGCATCAGGAAAGACTCAGGAGAGCCTTGTACATTCCTTGGTTGTGGATGTTCAGGTGCTCATTCCTGGGGCCCCACTCTGACCTACCAAGTCAGTCTCCAAACAGTGGTGTCCTGTAAGGTATTCTTTTGGTAGGTGGATTGGAGAAGTATCCTATGGGAGAGAGGAAGGATGACGGAGAGGGAGTCTGTTTGGTAACAGGGTTTCCGTAAGTGATAAGTAGAATAAAGTTGCAAGGGTGGGTTGAGGATTGGTGAGGACAATTGTATTCCATTGAATTCATGCATTCATTCTTACCGAGATTCCCTCCCAATACTGTCCTTACCTCTGGGAGCAATCCCCCACATGGGGATCATTTGTTCCATGTCAGACACTGTGTTGAGCCCTTCTAATGACCCAAAGTCACCGTCCCCACTATTGTCCCCATTTTATAGATGAGAAGTTGAGGCACAGAGAAGTAACTTATCCAAGGTCTCTCAGCCTTGGTGGAGACAAAGTAACACTTACGTGATCTCTGGCTCCAGAGCTGATTGAAACTCTTAACTCCTCTCCTCTCCACGGCTGTCCAGGGAAATGTATCATGTCATTATGGCAGACTATTGTGTAACACACACACTACAAGAAGCAGAGGTAGCACAGAGAGGGGAGGGATTGACTCTATTAGAAATGTGTGTGCATTAGAAAAGCTTCACAGGGTAAGTAACACCTGAAGAGAGTGTTATCAGATAGGAGTTTGCTGTGTAGACAAAATGGGTGAGGACACACCTAACAAAGAGAATCCTGTGTGCAAACTCAAGGAAGCAAACATTGCATTGGTTTTTGTAGTCAGAAGCAAGATTTGGAGGCAAGGTTGTGGCATAATCAAAGTGATTTACAAAGGCCGCTGCATCAGGAGAGCTGGAAGCAGGGCAGCTGGGCATGGGATTCAGGCATATTCTGGGTAGACTTGATGAGGCTGATAGGCAGGCACTGCCTGGGGAGAGGAAAAGGAAGGGATGAACGTGAGTGATGGCCAAAAGACCAGGCACACAGTAGGTATTCCATTATATATATATATATATTTTTATATATATATATATATATATATATATATATATGTATTTGAGAGCGATGAATCAGGGACAGAGTGTCTGTAAGGGGGAAGTTGCCAGGTTTTGAACAAGAGCCTGTGCGAGACTCATAGTGTGATTAACAGAACTAAAACAGGTGGAAGTAGCTCAGGAAGTGATACATTCTGTTTGCCATGTGTGGGTTGGAGATGCTTGAGGGATAACCAATGTGATGTGGGCATCTTGCTCAGAGAGGTGGTATCTGAAGCCAGGTCTGTGAATGAACTCCCTGAGGCAGGAAGGATTCTTGGGTATTCAGCCTTTCTGATCTGCCAGTCTCCTTTAAGGTGCAGTACAGAGTGCCGATGTTGATATTCGAACCCACTGATTGCCAAGGGACGGTTGGAGTGTGTGTAGGGTACAAGTACGTAAATAAAGATAGAGCAGCCTAATTCCATATCGGACAGGGGGGCCGAGTCCCACCTGTGCATTGTTTATTCAGTGTGCACCCAAATGGCAAAAGCGTCCAATCACTGCACTGGAGAAACGAGGCTCAAATTTGAAGGGCCCAGCATCTGCTGGCGCAAAAAGATACAATTGAATAACTATTTCTCTAAGTCCCCAGTCCATTTGTTTCTGCCATCACAGAGAAGTGTGTGCGTTGGTGCCAGGTTTCAATTTCATGGTCATACACTGTGAAATATCCTAGTTTGCATGTCCCCGGTGTGGTATGAAGGACTTCAGGTATCCATTTACATTTCTACTCATACCAAAAGCTGTTGGAACGGACTCCCCAATGCCCCAGCCAAAGGCACCGGAGCCTGACTCACCTTCTGCTTGAATTTCCTCAGACATCAAAAATAAGCCCTTTGGCTGTAGATCAAGAGTTTAGATATTGAGGATTGATGTTAGGTGTATGGAGGGCAGTGGCAGAGAAGGAGGGGTACTGTGGGAGAAATGGGGGTGAGTGTTAGAAAGCAGATATTCTTGTGACCTCGAGTGGTGATCCCGAAAGCTGTCCTAAGATAATTTTGTCGACAGTTGATGCTGGAATCATAAACGCGTCCCGCGCCAGTGCCAAAGCTGCAAATGGCCGAGGCACGCGGCATCGTGTCCATGTCGCTCATAGCCCTCAAAGCACCCTGCTGCATGAGGACATAAAGTTTAGTGGACATTTAATTTTTATACGGGGCGCTGGTGAATTTGAGAGATGGGTATGTCCCTGTGTGTGGCATGAGTGTAAACAGTAAGACGTCCCTATCTCCAGACAGACTCCTCCCCAGAACTCCTGCCAGCGGAGAGGAATCAGGCAAATTTCTTAAAGGCAAATGTGTGGCCGACAAGGGGCAAAATGAGGAAGATTTCTTTGCTTCCAAGCCTGGGCCGAGAAGCAGATGGCAGATGTGACAGCAGTGCATTTAGCAGAACTGTCACTCTGAAATAAGTCATGTTGCCAGGCTGGCAGCAGCTGCATCTGGGAGTGTGGGGGTTTCCTGGACAGGAATTCCAGGCGCTTGGTGGATGTACGGTCTCCCCATGCAAATATATTGGGGAATCCACATCATCACTGGGACCAGTGAGTCACGGTCAAGAAAATTGAGGCACAAAAGGTGGTTTTGGATAACTTTTTCTTTTTAAATTTTTTTTTTTTTCAACGTTTATTTATTTTTGGGACAGAGAGAGACAGAGCATGAACGGGGGAGGGGCAGAGAGAGAGGGAGACACAGAATCGGAAACAGGCTCCAGGCTCTGAGCCATCAGCCCAGAGCCTGACGCGGGGCTCGAACTCACGGACCGCGAGATCGTGACCTGGCTGAAGTCGGACGCTTAACCGACTGCGCCACCCAGGCGCCCCAACTTTTTCTTTTTAAATTAACGTTTGTTTACTTTTGAGAGAGTGAGAGAGAGAGAGCTGGGGACGGGCGGAGAGAGAGGGAGATACAGAACCCGAGAGGGAGACACAGAATCCGAAGCAGGCTCCAGGCTCTGAGCTGTCAGCACAGAGCCCGACACGGGGCTCATACTCAGACAGCAAGATCATGACCTGAATAGAAGTTGGATGTTTAACTGACTGAGCCACCCAGGCACCCCAATAATATTTTCTTTTGGAAGGAAGGGAGGATAGGTTGATTTAGAAAACTCTCTATTTTTTGTGTTTGTTCTGGAACAAAAGCAGAACTTTTGTATTTGTTTTTAATGTTTGAAAAGGCATTGAATAGCAGAAAGAATTCTTAGTTGGGAATCAGAAATTTTGACTGGTTTTTGCTCTCAATTATAGGCACATTAATTCTAAAATTATTTGTTGTTATTAACAGTAAGCCCAGAGAGGCACTGAGCTTGGGGCTGGAGGTAAAATGGTGAAATACACCTAGGCCATCATGGAGGTTTTAGCTAGCAGGAGATATGTATAATGAATTGGGCAACTGAGAGAGAATGTGAGGTGTGCTATGTTGGAGCTAGGTCCAGAGTTACAACGCAAGGGCGAAGTGAAGGCAGTTCACCAGTGCTGGAAATCAAGAATAGCTTCGTGCTGGATGTCAGGCCTACATTGCAACTGATGGGTGTAGAGGGTGGGGGTTTTCCAGGGGAAGGTGGATGAGGCTGCCTATTCCTGGAGAATAGTATGTGTAGAAGCAAAGGAAAGCGTGGCTGGGGTATATGTGGAGGTTGAATGTTTGGGAGGGTGAGTAAATACAGAGCAATTGGTGAGCTGTGGAGCTGTGAAGCTTGAGAAGTAAGGAAAAGCTACATGAATGGCTTTGTTTGCTGAATTATGGAATTTGGACTACATTCTGAGGGTATTTCATGACCCATAGTGATTTTTAAAGCATGGCCTCATATTTGCAATTAAGAGAGGATAGAAAGACCCCAGATGGTGGGGTGTAAGTGCTGGGGTAGATAATGGTGCCATTCACAGAAAGGACATATTAGGCTAGAACAGATTCAAGTTTGGTGTGGCTGGTTGTAGGTCTGGTTCCAACAGGAAGCAGACTCTGAAATGGAGATTTGCGTGTCCTTTATTAGGAACTTTTGTCAGGATCGGTTCGGGGGTAGGAGTGAGATAGTGAAGGAAGCAGAATTGACCAGATGAAGGGGTTGAACTGTAATGCAGTTACAATAAACAGTCATTCCTACAGGGAGTTCTGGAGCTGGAATGACCTTTCAGAGAGATTCCTAGTTGGGGCCAGGGGCGGAACTTTGTCCTACCTTCATCAACCACTCATTGTATGTGGGCTGCCCTAGAAAGAACATTTGAGCTTGGATAACGTGGCTCCTTTCAACCAAGGGCAAGTCCTGGATCATTATTCAGTTGAGCTGTTGGTCATCAGTTGTCCCAGCAGCTGCAGGAATGAGTCCTTTGGCCATCGAGGGAGATCTGGGTAGCATGTCACAATATCAACTACAGGATCATGATGATAAGTATAACCAAATCTCTGGGCTTTCCTCTTTCTGTGGCTAACAAGAGGGAGTTAGACAAGTTGATTGTGAAGGTATGTATATACTTGAACATTCCATGAGAGTTGGAGGATTGTAGAACTAAGAAGCTACCAAATGTAATTAACCTGTTTTTAACAGATGCAGAAATGGAGGCTCTGAGAGGTAAGGTGGTTTTTATAAGACAGTGAGTAGTAGAGACGTCTTAGAGTGCATGTTTTCACTTCTGCCTCTCCTGAGGACTAGGGTGGAAGGATCCTCCTCTGTGCAGGAGAGGGAGTCATCAGGCCTTTGCTTTCCTGTTCCTGGAAAGTTTGATGTGGCTGGAGAACTGGGTGGAGACACATTAGGGTCAGATCAAATTAACATATTCTGCACTGGCTTAAAGTTGGGTCAGCAAGTTGAGTTGAGGACTGAGTCTCAGGGGAATCTAAATTGAATGGTGGGAGTTCTATTTATGCTTTTAACTTTGCTACAGAGCCTGTCTATTCCGTGCCCTTCCTAGTGACCTATAGAGCTCACCTTCCCAAAGGCAATCTCTCTAGTGCATTGATAAGTACTTTACTGGTTTGGCTTGTATTTCTCAATAGTTTCTGAACTTCATAGGAACATAGAATGTGAGGACACGCATTTCCCATGATGACAAGGAAAAAAACAATGGTGTCCTTCTGCATGGCGGCTTAGGTTCTGATGAATGGCACACGAGTCTCCTTTTACCCAGTTGTTTATGTCTGGAGTGTATGAATTAAAGCTACTGCTATTATCCTCCATGGTGATGTGACAACCGCTTCTTCCTTGTTTTGACTTCTATCCACATCACTTCATTTTGTAGTTCCTTTGACAGATCTGACGTTGAAATAGTTGTATATCCTGAGTTTGATGGGCTCATGGCAAATGTAATGAAAATGACCATTTGATGGGGACTCAGTAGTTGTCCTTACACTCTTCCCATGACTTATGGGAACAGTTTCCTGTCGTTTAGAATCCGAGAATCTGTGGAATCTGTTGAAGCTGGATGGCTCCACGGAGGTCAATTTGTGGCATAGCGTGACTGACCCATTTTTCTGTTTTTGTTACAGCAAAATGTATCTATGGAGGAAAAGTCCTTGCAGAAGGCCAGCGGATTTTAACTAAGAGCTGCCGTGAATGCAGAGTAAGTTTCAATCTTATGTTCCCCATCCCTTGGGGGGAATTAACATATAGATAGATTGGCTTAGTTAGGGATCTGGAGTGGAACATGTTGGCCTGAGTGGGTGTCTGAGTGGTGGTCTGCTGTCCGGGATGGGAAGGTCCCATCCACTGTCATTGCGTGGCTGGGTGGTCGTCAGCTGTGGAACATAGAGACTTGGGAAAAAGTACTGAAGGATGTGAGAAGGCAAAGGGAGCCAACAACAACCATAAGTCAGTGAGGTTGGCAGGTGGCCCTGGGAAAGGGTTTTGAGTTGATTTTGGGGAAATCAGCTTGTGATGCCAGCTCTGGATGGTGCCATCTCTACTCACAAGTGTCTTATATATTGTGAGAAAATGCCTGTCTCCTGCCTGCCCTCGTCTGTCTCTTTCTTGAAATAAGACGTGTAGAAGCATAGATCTTCAGTAGTCGGTCAGCTAACCTCCCGTGCTCAGCTGCTGCATACTAGCATGGTACCAAATTCTGGGTATATAATGGTAAACACAACAAAGTCCCTGTTTTTCTAGAACTTGCAGTCTAGTAAGAGAGACCGATAATAAGGAACTAAATAAGTGTATGATGTAATGCCAAATCATGCTGAGACGATAGAGAGCTTTTGGGTAGGTGTGGGTGGTCTGAGAAGGCCTTTCTGTGGAGGTAATATTTGAACAAAGTGTGGGAGCCATCCTAGGAATGTAAGAGTGAGAGACAGAGGAGGGTACACAAATACAAGGTGGTACATTACAGAGCAGCCACCTTCCACTGAGGAGGCACAGCTGGGGTTGTGGGGCATCTCCAGAGAGGCTGAGTGGAACCACTGCATCTCAGAATAGCCATCTTTACAAGTGCTTGCTACTACATTAGTTCATGTGCTTCTCATCACACCCCTGGGGAAAAGAAAGGAATCTCTTTTATAAAGATTGAGGAGAATGAGGCATTTAGAGACCTGGAGAAGCTCTCAAGGAGCTTGAATACATTTCTTTATGGGGGCCTTGGTTGGAGGTGGGTGGACGAAAGGCTCTTTTCTGTCTCTCCGGGACTAGACTCTACCCCAGGGGTTAACACCCTCAGACTTTCCTATTGTATTTCCCATTCCCACTTTCTTGGCTGCACTGGGAATGCCAGAGATCTGTGTCTCCAAACAGTCTGGTGGGCACGTAGGTGTGGTGGTCTTTGTGCAACGGTAGATGCTGTGCACTGAGGCTCCGTAGTCTGCAGCAGAGGCAGGGATGGTGTGGCAGCTAGGGTTCTGTGATCTCTCAATCAGCAAGGCAAGCTACCAGACCTGGGCATGGGGGAGCCGGTGGGGTTTTCTCCAACCTGAGGCTGGCACATTACCACATAGGATGTTGGGTGGATTAAATGAGATAAAGCACGTGAAGTACTTGGTAGAGTGTTTGGCACAAAGTAGGTTCTGAGTAAATGTGAGCTCTTCTTATACCACACCATACATGTCCTCTCTGAATATAAGATTGATAGAGGTCCTTTTCTCTGTAAATTGTTTAACTTTTTTTTTTCTTTTTGAGAGAGTGTGCATGAGTAGGAGAGGGGCAGAGAGAGAGAGAGGGAGAGAGAATCTCAAGCAGGCTCCATACTCAGTGTGGACCCCAACATGGCCTCAATCCCATGACCCTGGGATCATGACCTGAGCTGAAATCAAGAGTCAGATGCCCAACCACCTGAACCACCC